AATTAATTACGTTGACTAATGTGAGCAAGCCGATGTTACTTGAGGGAGAGTATTCCTGAAAACGAATTTTGTCACAAAAGTAGATGGAGAACTCTGTATACCGGGTGGTGCCTAGCGCGACGCAGCATAGGGATTTCAATGGTAATTTCTTTATAGTTAATTACTGGCTCCCCTAATTATTTTAGAGCAAAAGTCTAAATAAGTTTTTTTTAGAGAAACAAATACTGAATCTGTTCATGCTATTATTCATAATTTTCCGTTTGTCAAAACCGTAGAAATCAACAAAGTAAAAAGGTTCATTTTACAATAAATCAGATATGCCTTGGAATTACCTAAAGAAACAGCGATCACGTTTCATTATTTGCCTTTGACGTATATTAACTTTATACTTGTTTATAAATAAGTTAAAGAACTGCAAGAGCAATAACGTTCAAAATGTCCATCAAAACCATCAGGAAAACGACAATACATTCAACGTTTTGGCTGCAGTAGCGGAAAATCCGAATATAAGTTTAGGAACAAATCTGTTTCAAATCAGTTTTTTTTTCTTCGATTATGTAGGTACCTACTCTGATTCTCTCTGATAAACAAATAGTATCTGATGCAGGTGCAGCATACATTCTCTAAAAAAACATTACCCAATTGCCGCTTTTTCTTGCATGTGATAGTTGTAACAGAATTAAATATGAAAATCGTTCGACGTCAAATAACGATAACTTAGATGCGATGCGCTTGTAATTTGTTAAAAGATTCCAAAGCATCACTGATTTATAAAAATGTAATTTTTTATTTTGTCGATTTCTACGGTTTTGAAAAATGGAAAATTATAACTAAAAGTATGAACAGATGCAGTATTTTTTTCTCTAAAAAAACTTATTTAGACTTTTGCTCTAAAATAATTAGGGGAGCTAGTAATTGACTATAAAGAAATTACCATTGAAATCCCTATGCTGCGTTGCGCTAGGCACCACCCTGTATAGGAACCGAGGTGAACCTTTTTACTCCTAATTGACAGTACGGGTAGAAAGAGGGGGGAGGGGGGAGTCAAAGTTTGTTCGGTGATAAAATTTGCAGCTGCGGATATTCTGAATTTTCTTGAATACTTTCAATAAAATTGTACACAATTTTTTTAGGAACCTATGGTTATTTTGAATATAAGTCAAAGTCCATTATAGCATATTAAGTATGGAGAACGGTAAGGGATTTTTACCGTTCGAATAGACAATTGTTATTGTTATGAGAACGGTAACCCTTAACGTTCGACGTGCTTATATCATTTTTGCGCGACCGGAATTAAATTATGTCACATAATATATAATCACAGATTTAATATTTAAATCTGTGATATAATGCACTGAGAAATTAAGAAGCGGACTAAAGGTAACCAGTTTATTTGTCAAAACTGAAATTAATAATTTCACAAAATTGTGCATGTGTCTGTGTAGTTTGCTAGCTTTTGCACTTCCGTTATGAGCGAGGTGTTCGACGGTGGCCGAATGGTATGTCGAAGATTCCTTTACAGAACAAAATGGAAATTGCAGATAAAATTTTATCCACTGATAGTGACATTAAATTGAAATGTGTTAAGAAAAACGAAAGCACATCTTCAAACACATTCAATTGATCTTTTTTGCTTCAGGTTCAAATGAAGAACGTGTTCTTTTTATAGGAAACAACAGCACAAATTCTACGTCTAATCTTTATTCAATGGTTTAATGTAGTAATAATTAAATTTAAATGTAATGTAAGACTTTGAGTGTTTATTTTGAACTGATTGTTTTTATAGAGACGTCGGTATGTATTTTTACCCGAAATCGTATTTCTTGATTAATATAATAATTCTTGATTAATACCAATCTGTCAATGATGACAGGAGTCATTATAGACATTTAGCAATGTGACAAGTGCGGCCGGTAAAGTGACAGGTGGCAGGAAAAGTAGACTGGTCTGCCTCCGTCATGGAAACTAAAGCCCCATTCACATAGGTGGTAGTGCAGTGCTGTTGCGGTGCGGTGCCTTTGTATAAAAGTTTGAAATACGTATACCCATATGACAATTCACAATGACATGTGCAGTGCAGACGAATTGCAGCCGCGTGCCGAAAGTATGTAAACTTCAAACTTTCTGCACTACCTTAGCAAGCACCAATAGAAGCGCAACATTTGTCGTGGCGATCTGTCAAAGCAAATTTGCTGCTGCTGATTGGTCATACTTATGTAGGCGGGCCAATTTTGCGGTGATTGTGAAAGCAAATGTCAACATGACAGCACCAACCCGCACCGCATAACAAGGCAACAGCATCGCACTACCACCTATCTGAATGGGGCTTAACACTTTCCTGACACAAAGTAGGCATGAAAATGAATGTTTCATGACGATTTTGGGTAAAAATACTTACCGACGCCTTTTTAAAAACAATCAGTTCAAAATCAACAGTCTTACAATACATTTAATCTTTAATTATTGTTACATTAAACCTACAATTTGTGCTGTTGTTTCCTATAGAAAGAAGACGTTTATTCATTTATACCTAAAGGCCCTAAAGCAATAGATATCAATGTGTTTGAAGATGTGCTTTCGTTTTTCTTAACATATTCCAATTACAATTTTGTTCTGTAAAGAATCTTCGACATACCATTCGGCCACCGGCGAATACCTCGCTCATTAAGTCATTATGGAAGTGCAAAGCTAGCAAACTACATCAGAGACATGCACAATTTTATGAAATGATTAATTTCAATTTTGACAAATAAACTGGTTACCTAGTGATGTATTTATTTATTTATTCTGCTCGTTAATTTCTTATAGTGCATATTTATATTAGTTGCATAATTTTAATTTCGATCGCGCAAAAAATGTTATAAGCACGTCGAACGTTAAGGGTTGCCATTCTCAAACAATTGTCTTCGAACGGTAAAAATTCCTTACCTATACTTATACTTAATATACTATTGCCGCCGTCGTAATTATGATATGGTTTTTTGGCTATTTGCCTAACTATAATAATTACACCCTCAGGTCACTACTTTAGATAGAACTCACCGGCGTGATGTACACCAATCCGACCAGAAATCCAAATAGCGCTGTCGCCGCCGAAACCTTCCAAGGTTTAATTGTAGGGAAATTGTCCATGATCATTGTGTTTGCGCATCCGTGAAGTGCTACCAAGCTTCCAATTCCCAAGACGAAAAGCATAATGAAGAAGAGAATTGCAAAAAGCTGAAACGAATTATTGGTTTACCCCACGCCAAACTGGTACCAACAACGTACCCAGGGAACGCTTTGAAATTTTGCAATTGCATCAGGATAGGAAATGAATGCCAAACCCGTGCCTCCCGATTTAACAACGTCCTCAACCGGCACGTTTAGTTCATGTGCCAAGTTGCCCAAGATGCCGAAGATTGTCGTACCCGCCAAAAGAGAAGTAAAGGTATCCAATGTCGTTACGACCAATGCATCTCTGTTGATGTTGTGGTCGAAACTGTTGTAAGACGAGTACATGATAATGCTTCCAAGTCCGACGTTCAGTGAGAAAAAACATTGTGTAACGGCAGCGTACCAAACCTCTGCCCTCGCCAATTTACTCCATTGAGGTGTTACAAAATACAACATTCCCTCAGTGGAGCCCTCTAATGTTACTGCTCGTATTAAAAGCGCACCCATAACAACGTATGGAAACAGGGCGAGAAAGTAGGAGACTTTCCCAGAACTTTTTACTCCCTTGACGGAAACCGCAAAAGTTAAAAACCAGGCTAATAGCAGGCACAGTGTGAGTCTCCATTCGGGAGGACCTACTCCATCATTAATCTGCTCCTTTTCTTTCAACACTTCCTTTCTGAAGCGGACGGTGTTAGAAAGTCAATGTTTTTGCTACATACTTACGTAAACCACAGTTCGGAAGAACTAATCTTGTTCCGACCAGTCACACTCTCCGTATCCTTGGATGAAACGCATGTGACATTTCTTTGAGAATTTTCCGTTTCCCACTCCACTTTACAGTGTGACCAAGGAAGATCAGAAGTAAATGAACTTACAAGATAGAATAATGTCAACGCCATTAGTGAACAGTAGTAGGTGGCTATACAAGTACTGCCCAGCAGTTGACCATACCCTATTCCTGAAATCCACAATATATGTTATGGAACGATTTCATAATGGTCAACCTTTAATTGCGGGGCTCAAGCTTGAAAATGACTGGACGTTCCCTCTGCTTGTAAACTGTCCTAGTGCCATCTCCAAGTAATACAAAGGACGCCCAATTACTATCAGCACAACAATGTAAGGTATCAGAAAAGCTCCCCCGCCATTTTCATACGCCGTAAACGGAAATCTCCATATGTTCCCCAAACCTACCGACATAGCGATGCACGACATGAGAAACTCCAACCCATTTCCCCATTGCGCTCTTTCAGTTTCGATACCGTCGACTTTGATTTTCTGTAATGAAAAGGGATAATTAAAGTCTACACAGTTAAAGCGGGGTAGGTACACAGTATTTTTAACGAATTCCTCTTAAAATTAAGCGTTCAAGTTAAGAGGATTTAATAAAAAGGGGGAATAAACCTAATGCGATTATTCAAATCTGTTATTTAATGTTCGGAATACTCCGTTCGGCTTAAATAAGATAAATCGCGAAGAAATGGCACTGCTTTTAAAGGTTGTAGTAATTAAACTTTTGCTGCGGCACTTACATGTAATTAACAAATGTAATTTACGTTTCATACTTCACTGCTACGTCCCATGATCGTTCATGTGCGAATCCGTAAAACTTTGAAGTTAATTGAAAGGTCATCAATTGATATTTTTTGTAACAATTTTTAATTGAATTGAGCTTTTACTACTGCTCTTCGACTCCCACGTTAGAGTTGATTAGAACTCAACTGCTGCCTGTCGAAGCACAGTGGAAAAACCATCATACATTTAAACGCTGTTCTCCAAATAGGTAGAATTTCGGAAAAACGTCGAGTGATTTTTATTATATGAGGCTCGAAGGTTAGCTATGGTGTGGAAAACACAAAACGGGGACGATTAATCCTTCGGGCTTAGAAATTGGCGTTGAATATTGGTGTTGGTGGTGTTGCATATTTGTTTCACGCTTAAAAAGGAGTAAACATGGAAAAGGTTTAATTCTGAGACTGTGCTTTGCTGGGGTACACTTTAAATCGAGAGAACGTTCAGCGTATTGTGCTTTATAATCAAAACTATCGAGTATAAAACTCGGTATAAAATTAAAAATTAATTCAAATTTGCAATTCTTAGAATTTTGAGTTTGAGTTACAACTCGGAATGTTAACTATAATGAGTCTTTTTGGACGCCTTCTACACTCTAGTTCGTGTTTGGCAAGAACAACATCGAAGGCTTAAGAAATGTTACATGTGATAAATATCAACCAAAAGGATGTCACGATATCCCTTTTTCGATGGTGGTGGGTAAAGCGCTGTGGGGAATTTTAAAATGCGGTACTCTCATTCGAATGGATGTTGTTTAAGTTGATAGTCCAAGAACTTTTAGTGGAAAAACAAACAAAGCTGTTTCTATTCAAAGCACTACTCTTTATATTTATTTATTAAGTGTGGTAATAACTGTTATAAGTTTTTAAATAATGTATAGGTAGTGGGAAATGTGTCATTCGTAGTTTACGCAAGTAGGTAACACGAAAAATACGTAACTGGCCGCACGTGCTTTTTTCGTGTTTATGTTTCAGGCGTCTACCTTCAATAGTGCGAAGGCTGTCTATCAAGACGCCCTTTAAACTTTTATCAAACCCAAACGTTTGCAAATTTAAATTATGCATACATACCTAACGTCCGCCATACTGGTATACGCAGGGACAAAAGAAACATATATAACGGGGCGACTAAAAGATGAACGTGATGAGAAAATGAAGCTGTTACAAATTGCCGAGTTTACTTATAGCTTACTAAGTTTATAAAGAATTAAAAATGTTTCATTTCAAATTAACCCAGCGATTATTTTCGTTTACGGCCGGAAATAAACTCGGAAATGTAACCTTAAAGCAAAATGTAAAAAGGATCGTTTAGCTTTATCGGTTGGCGGGTTGTTTTACTAAAATATTTAATCACGCCTTAAAATTGTTCTACTTCCGCTAAATGAAATTTGAAAGTTTAAAGCGGCGCGTCCTTTGAACGCGGTGTCTTCTGGATCAACAGTGCTCGAGGAGAGGTTAAATCAATATTGAACTTCAGGACAAATTTTGTTAGTTTTATGCCTTTTTTATTCGATCTGTAAGATTAAGAAATCCCGATGGCAAATATCTACTATACTTTTGAGAGTCTACATTATCCATATATCTCAAACATAAATAAGAACTAGGTACTTCAAACAAAACGGAAAGTATTTTTCCAATAGTCTGACAAGAATCTGTTTCACATTTTTTCGTAAGGAATGTACTAACAGTGGTTTAATCTGAATATTTTGGGCTTGATCTTAAGCAGACAATACTTTAATTTAAATCTAGAAAGTAAAATAAAATATTCGCCACGTGTATTTTAACCAAGATGTGTCGACATTTTTCAGATAACGTACCTTAATGTCCAAGAAAACCGAACTTGATACCTACCTACCTTTCCATGTCCATTTTTAATACGATTTTTATCAAAATCTACTGATTTCATTGGAAAAAAGTGGAAATGATCTTGACGTCCAAGATAACCACCGCGCGCGTTCAGACAAAAAGATGTCAAAAGCTTCTTTCACTAGGTACTTCGTTAGAGAAATCTAGAAACGCTGCATTGATTCTTTGCAAATAGAACACAATTCTCTAATTTCAATACCTGAATACTACGTAGTTGAAATGCATATTACGTAAGTCGATTAGGATTAACTTTTTACATGTTATTTTTTATTTCACTTTTTATTCGGGAATTCCGTTCCCAAGAAGTTGAATAATTCACAAATCATGACAGCACAAAACTTGTTTCATGCAGCAAAAAAGAGCACAAAGTTACGTATAGGCGTTGAAATTCCGTTAATAAATTGAAAAATTAGAGTAACTCAAAAACTCAATACGTTCAAAACGCTTTTATTAGTATCAGCGTTAAAATATGTTACTGTAGCAACTCTTTTTAAATTAATAGCAGAAACTCGTGAATGTACCAAGAGTATATGCAGAACAGCTAATCCTCCCTAACGTTCGCAATGGTAAAAAAAAAACAAGGCGGATGCATTCAACACCAAATACAGCTATTTTCAGATAGCTAAAATCGTTAGTAGACGAAGACATTCCAGATGTTGAAAATAGCTCCGTTGCCCTTTCAATGCCAACTTGTAAATCCGGCTCATTGTTGTGATCTACGTAACTAATTTGTGATGTACATGGTGACTGAATAATACCCCTAACCACAACCAATAAATCATTTCCATTGAGGCGGAGTAAAACAGAAAGCAATCCAGTATAGCAATCGATTGGCAAAGTTTGGTACAGACAGACGTATCTACGATATGAGCATTTCCAAAAGTTCGCCCAAAAAGTTATTGTTCTATAAGCAAGGTCAATTGCTAATTTAATACCAGACACTTAAACAAAAGTAAAAAAGACAGATCCACTTACCGTTTCTGAATCCTTTGTCGCCCTGCCATTTTCTCCGTTTTCGATTTGAAACCCTGGATTATCCTGACCAAATTTCTGAAACACAATTACAATTAATATTTTAATAACTATGATTGCCGTCCATTTGCCTTGGGTACTTAATTACACGGTTCGTGCTGTGTAAAAAAAATTTAAAACCGTTACCCATGACAAGACACTAATATGCAACTGCAAGGTTTCACACTTTCACAACTATAACAAAGAATTAAATATGTAAAGCAATCACCTCCGCGTTTGATGTCATCTCAAATAACCAACAGAATGCAGGTAACGAGTGCAGCTAACGTACGGAATGAATTATATTTGATAGGTAAATAATAGTCGCCTAATGATAAAAACCATGTCGAATTTGCTAATTTCCACCGTAATTGCGACGACGTGGTGGGGTATGGCGAGATAGCATTGCTGTTCCTTTATTTTCCTTACTTATCATCTTAATCACTTTGTTTGTTAAGGTTTAAGTGAAATGTAATGAGAGGGATTTAAGATAAATGGTCCTTGATCGTTTTTTACCAACCCATAATAGTTGTAGATGCCTCTTTGGTATGTCACATCTCAGTTTGAGGTTTGGCTCTCTAACATAATTTAAGATAATTTGATATGGATGCACGTTACAGATCTGTTAAATTACCTATAGTTTTCTGAAATTTCCAAAATTATCTACTTACTAAAGATTATTCTTTTTTATTGTGAGTTATGCGGTTGTTCACAATGGATTCTGCATGTAACGTAATACTTTCGATCCTTAATGCGAGTCTTTTCCTCTTTATTATTTGTCTAAATTACACAAACTAAAAACCAAATCCAAATAATTGTTAATTTGCAGAATTTCATCTGACGCACCAGTACCTATTCTCTTATTTATTTGTAAAATTGAATTAGAATTGAATATAGAAATGAGTGCATAAAAAATGTCGCTGCTTCCTGGACTATAAGGGTATTTTTAAATTGTTCTCGAGGTACATTTAAGTCGTTTTTCCAAGATAACTTATCTATAAATTGAGTTCGAACAATTTCCAAAATTGCTATAAGTTCGTAATATCTAGGCAATAACGCCCCGAAAATGAGGTCTCCTTTTTTCATTTACAAAATATGGCACCCTAATAGCCCTCGACGTTACCCCTAAAAAAAAAAGATTATTTGAAAACATTTTAAGAAATCCCGGCGTTATTGCCTAGCTAAAGCATTCACCTTTCACATAGCGTAGGCGGTACAACTGAAAATCGAGGTAAATGCTGCACTTTGTGACAAAAGCATGAAACTCGGTACACATGTTTATTAGGTCCAAATAAAACTTTTGACCCGCAGCACCCACCGAAATTTTCGTGTGGGTTCAAAATTTGAACACTTTTGTTCAAAAGGGTGTTCAAGGTTTTAAACCTGTAAAAATTGACGAATTTCGGCATTCTAGGGGTCGTTTTTGAATGATTTAGGGTCGCTGGTGCCAATGGCGGCATTAAAAAAGTTGCATATCTGACCCTTAGGCCCCAAATTTGGAGTATTTTCAAAATAATGGTTAAATTTTGAATTTGATAGTTTTAACCCTGCGTGATGTTTCGGATGTCGATTGCAGCTAATTTTGACGTGCACTACATGCTAGAAATGTTATATTGACGTTAAAACAGTTTCTGGTGTGTAAATAGGCCGTTAATCGTTCAATAATTTGTTCAAAATTTGGAAATTCTATACTGGAAGGATTTTGCCGTTCTTGGTGTCGTTTCCATATAATTTGTGGTTGCTGATGCTGATTTTGTATTCAGAAAACAGATGCGACTCATAGTTAGGCCCTTTTCATACTATTTTACCTATAAGAGAGAATGTTCGGTGCAGTCATACCTTTGTTGTCCCGGATTGCAACAACTATTGAATAACAAAGAAAGACGAAAGAGACGGACATTTCATAAGATTCGGAAGTGGACATGTTCTCTGACGGGATATGCCCCCTATGCTGCCATTAATGCCCTCCCGTCATCGTTTGTTGGGAAATCTGTACTTCCAGTCAGTCTTGAGCTCACTCCACGACAAGTAACATCTCGCAGTGAGCTAGTTCCGTCCGACTCGTGCCCCTGGAAATGAGGATATTGCAACGATACCGTGAAACGCGATCGATCGCAACGCAGTGCCTGGGGCCCATTGCATGGTTTTTTGGGAATAAAATTTTTACATCCATAAAGCATTACCAATTTCACTAAAATAAAATATTTCATATTATGAGTCCTTGATTAGTAGAATAAAGTAATGTGGAATAGGTAAGTTTAAGCACAAAAAAGGGGCCCGTGCTTAACAACCCCTCGGGCCCCAAGTTTTTCTCTACGGCCCTGTACAGTACATACCGAAATATAGTTTCTTTCTATCGCCTTTGGCATATTTTAGGAATGACAACAAAATTCATCTTGATGACATGGCATTAACATATACCTACTAACAATAGGTAAGCAGGTACTATGCAGGTTATGTGTATTATTTACTCCTTAAAGTTGACAGTTGTACGAAAATTCAAATTTTAGCGCGCTTGCGTTTGCGCATGGAGTCAGTGTGCAACACATCTGCAATCAAGCTAGAGGCCGGTTATCTGGTAAAACAACTCAAGGAAGGGAAGATGATTAAAGCTGCTTTCATTCATAACAAAGCAAAGTGGCACAAAGCCTGTGCATCGAAGTTCCAAGGGGCTAAATTGGATCAACTTTTACTAAAAGTTCAGTCTTCTACCAGTGCTATTGACGTACCTGAAGAGGCACTGGAAGACTGGCGGCCAGAACCAGCTTCTGGCTGGTCAGGTCATGGTGGTAACGGTCTCTTAATATGCGTTTAGAGTTCCTACAGCGACGCACAGGGCCTAAAACGCCTGTGACTCGCAGCCTAATCGTATCGCCCGCCATCGGATGCACTTTGGGGGCTGCCTCGGCGACTTCTGGGAACACCTAGGCACTGTGTCGCGATCTATGGCGTTTCACGGTATCGTTGCGATATCCTCACTTCAAAGAAAGGTCGTCGCCAGAGGGGGCAGGGAAGGGAAACTGCCCCCGTCTAGAGATTAAAAGAGTAGCAAAATGCAAAGCAACCAAAGTGTCCTGCTTTTCTTGACCGATAATTCGTTATTTCAATTATTGTGGTTGTAGAGGTAAGACAGTACAACAGTAAAAGTTTGTGCTCTGCACCTTTGAATATAGGTATTTTATAATCAAAGCTCTGCACTATACCTACAATTAATAATTTTTTACCCTTTATATGTCAACTTGCCCATCTCTGGGCCATCAGCTGACGACACTCTTGCTTCAAGGGGCACGAGTCAGACGGAACTTGCTCGCTGAGTGATGTTACTTGTCATGGAATGAGCTCAAGACTGACTGGAAGTACAGATTTCCCAACAAACGATGCCGGGAGGGCAATAATGGAAGCATAGGCGGCATATCGTCAGAGAACATGTCCATTTCCGAATCTTAATGAAATGCCCGTTTCTTTCGTCTTTCTTTGTCATTCAATAGTTGTTGCAATCCGGGGCAACAAGGGTATGACTGCGCCGAACATTCCCTCTTAATAGGTAAAATAGTTTGAAAAGGGCCTAACTATGAGTCGCATCTGTTTTCTGAATACAAAATCAGCATCAGCAACCACAAATTATATGGAGACGACACCAAGAACGGCAAAATCCTTCAAGTATGGAATTTCCAAATTTTGAATAAATTATTGAACGATTAACGGCCTATTTACACACCAGAAACTGTTTTAACGTCAATATATCATTTCTAGCATGTAGTGCACGTCCAAATTAGCTGCAATCGACATCCGAAATATACGCAGGGTTAAAACTATCAAATTCAAAATTTAACCATTATTTTGAAAATACTCCAAATTTGGGGCCTAAGGGTCAGATATACAACTTTTTTAATGCCCCCATTAGCACCAGCGACCCTAAATAATTCAAAAACGACCCCTAGAATGCCGAAATTCGTCAATTTTTACAGGTTTAAAATCTTGAATACCCTTTTGAACAAAAGTGTTCAAATTTTGAACCCACACGAAAATTTCGGTGGGTGCTGCGGGTCAAAAGTTTTATTTGGACCTAATGAACACGTGTACCGAGTTTCATGCTTTTGTCACAAAATGCAGCGAAAATATTTGTACCGCCTACGCTATTTGCCTAACATACTTCATTGTTACACACTGTATCAGTTGTTTTAATTAATTCTACATTTTTGACTTTTGTTAACGTTCACTTTAATTGCCTTTGGCTCTTGGATATGGTCTTCGTCCTTTTCGATTTCTTATCCTTCTCAAACTTTTTCTCATATTTAATTGTCCATTTTTTTTCAAATTCCCTCTTCAAGAGCTCGATGTGGGCACAAATGAGACTTATTTGCATTACTTCTTATCATTTCTTTGTGAGGTTACTTTGATACACAAAGTACTATAGTTGCCGTTGCAGTAGGTATTTAAGTATCTGGGAGAATCTGCGATTATTCTTTTTCTTCATTGACACTATTCACCATTATCCTTTCCCTCTTAAATTTCGAAGTATAGTCCTAACTCCAGTCGTGTATTTTGGGGTTTAAAAACCACAACTCTACTGGTTTCAGAATACTGTATCGTTTGAGTATAAATCTCAATAAAATGTAATTTTGTAAGTATATGACGTTGAATTATGTCACTGCATAATTAAAGTTGGTCACTCAAAAGACACACTTAAAAATAATTATGTCAAAATGAAATTCAAGATTAGAGACGAATTATATTTTAACAAACGTGCTAAATAGGATTCTTACATGAAAGCAAAATTTTATTAGTCCATTTTCTCTTTTCAATTCATTCCCTAAACTATACTGTCCGCGGTCCAAATTCGGCCCACTGTACTTTTCAAATTCGTGGAATTGTCTCAATTTTCGTTGTCCGGCCAAGAATTGCAGTGAAATTGTTCTTTTTAATTTTACATACTTAACTTATATGTAACACCCTGTATAAATACTGGTGTAATATTATGAAAAAAAATTCGGTTCACGCCGGAATCGGATAATCCACAATTAGCACAGAATTTTGCAAATAGAAAAAGGTAGTTAATTCGTGAAAAACTGGACTTCCTCAAAATCACTTCAATCAATTAAAATCTGTACGCACAGATTTTGTAGCAATTTGTGATACAATTTTCTCGTATAGAAAAGAAATAAATACGGAAACAGAGCGCCTTCACGATTAGACTTACGTGAAAGGTCACGCATACTCAACTTCAAAATGCTAAGAGTAGTGTAGTTTCCTGTGGGATGAGATAACACTCACACAATGAAAATTACTTACAATAAACCGCAGCACAATGCAAAGAAAAGCAAACCAAAATGCAAGGGTTAGTTCATTTAAATATATTTTAGTTTAAAGAGAATACGGCAAGTACCTCCGCATAGGAACTTAATCTATTAGAGTGTACTTACTTTTAATTTACAATGCCATTCTACACGTGAGTATGAGTCCCTACTCCAACAGATCTTCCCTTGAAATTAAAAGTTACCAATCAAAGCGTTTGTATTTTGCTTTTATTGTTTAGTGAAAGCATTATTGTAATGGACTTTTTCTAATTCAATTTTACCTTTATTCATTATCGAAGCAGTTTCGGTGTTCTTATCTACA